CTGCCGTTTTTAGCGGTCGAAAATGACCAGATGACATCAATATATTTGAAAGGCATTTGTGGTCATAGGAATTTACTTCACACACTAAATAGACGTGATCAGAGGCACCCTTGGTGAACTACACGTGACAAGGAGATGGAAATCACAGAAGAGGCACCACACAAGCTATGAAATCGTCCCACCCTGTTTGTCAGTCAGAACAAAGCGCTGGAGGATTCAGCCTATTTTGTAGGCTCCGGAAAATCATCTCTCTTAAAGTGAAACTCTGAGTAGGCACCAAGCGCTGTAGAACCCAACAGGCACATAATATTCGCCTCAAGTCTTCCGGGTGTTGCACATAAACCAGTGAATGTAGCTTCAATGAACTCGGCAGCAGCTTGAAAAAACAAAACGTATTAAATCCTTGATTCTGAACACCCACAAAGCCGCTGCTTGCCTTTGAAGAATTGTGATTAGTCGGAGAAACAGAGTATAACGTCCATAATGCATGTTATCTAAGCGGTCCGAATATACCACCTGGAGCAAGGAATCAGTCTTGGTTCATTGCATTACTTATAGCCTAAACTGAGCTGAGAATAATCACATAAAAATGACTGAGATTTTCGTCAGCCTGAAGTCCTCTGGTGGATGCATGATCGAGTGAAATTTTTCAGCTGTTTGTTGAGATGATGGTAAAAGCCCCTATACTCCTCTATAAAAACACGGGAAAGTTAGAAGTTCCGTGGGTAATTTTTGTTAACCGAGACCCAAGCACCTCCAAGTTTTATCACCCAAAATGCCCAGGTACCATTATTACGTAACAACAGTCCACGAAACCTCGCACGAAGCCAGTTAAATGTGTGGGAATTGAGTCACACTTACCTCACAAGCTGGCTCACATTAGGACAGAAAGGAATCGAAGATCGAAGCCTGATTTCTCGTAGACTTGTGATGAATGGGGAACGAACCAGCAGGACACCTTCCGATTAACGCTCTAGATTAGTGCTGAATTCCAGGTAGTGCGGTTTTCCAAGTCCTATCGTCAATGAGTTTGGAAAATTTTAGGGTATTTTTGATCGCTTTTTTTCCGCGTTTTTTCGGTTTGAGGCACCTCATGTGATAAATTACCCTGGGTGCCATTCTCCACACGCTAGGCTTGCGAACACTGTCGCATTTTCAGCAGAAGACGCTCGAAATAAAGCCGAATTCTCTCATTTTCACTGGTTGAGCCACAGCAATGTTATTTGCGCTTCTGCGCGAACAGCGTTGTCGGTGGTTGAGTCATTCATAAAAGCAGAAGTCCCTCCCAACTACTCCGCATTCATGTGAAACCCGTCGCCAGGCATGCCGTCTTAACCACTATATTCCGACCGTGCTCTATCCCACATAGTTCGATCCACTCTAAGCGATGGAGAGCTGGAAGCCAAGGTCAACACTGTCAAGATGAACAAATAACGAAATTTGATCGGCTGCATTCCACGTTTAAGCAGATAAAGAAGCGCAACTCGCCTGCTAATCATCTTAACCTGGTAAGATTGCCAAATAAAGCGTCAGGTGATCAGTGCCGTTTTTTATCACAGAAGAGCTTGCAATTTTGGTGGGTAAAAGGATCTGAGAAAGAAAAACAAGTCTTAGCGTGAAATCTGTATTTCGGAATCTCATTCCGATGGAGGTGCAGATGCTGCAGGTATACTTTGTCACAGTCGTTAAATCCTAGCAGCAAGGAGTTCCAAATAACCCCATAATGTAGAGAGCGTTTAATACCGCGAAACAGTCGCACGACATAGTGATTTCAGAAGCAAATAAAGGTGAGTGCAACAGGGATCTACGAAAGGTCATGACCACCTAGCTGAGAATACTTGTCAGCAGACTGACAGCGGGAATAATACGCCTATAATTAATAGAACGAAAGTTCAAGTTGGCAGGTACACTCTGCCCGAGAAAATCCACTTGGGGAAATGTAAGTGGTGTATACTTCACCCAAAAGTGCGAACCAACCACGACTCTGTGGTCTACCATTCGTCCAAAAAGTGGACGGACATTGGAAACCGATACTTAAGTAGATGGATTTCCAACTTAATGAGCTGGCCAGATTTGTGACAAGTATTTTTAAAACGTAAACTGGAAAAGTTACTACCCACATAAACGGTATATATGACTGCCAACAAAGTGACGTGGAGCCAAATGACATATTGCAGCATTCGATGTCGGCGTGTTTTTGCAAGCATGTCAAAATAGGGCTGTCCGGAAATACTCAAATGATCGATATTAGCCCACCCACCAGAAGTCGATGCTCGCCAGTATTGCCGCATCAGTGTCTACACGAGTAAGGGCCCTTTTCACGGAATGATTGGTCAAATATAGTCCCATACTGAATTAAGGGATAAATTCCGGCGCATGTGATTTCAAATTAGTTCGAATGGGCCTTAATTATGGGGGGCAATGGAACCTGTGAAGAAGCCCAAATGGAATTGCTGTTATTCCATGCAAATCATACACATCGGGGGTCATTCGAGGGATTCAAGACGCGGTTAATAAGGGAGCAGCTTCTCAGAAGGAAAATACTATACGTGTTGCACTAGTGCATATGAAAGGTCAACTCTCGGTAAACAGAATCCCGGACCGTGCCTACATATTTAAATGGAAGTCTGCACTTAGGCCTGCATGGGCAAATGGGTCAGAGAACTTTGTGCCAGAATCAATGAGCAAAAGCTCAAACAGCTCAAACAGTAAGATTTGGGAAACCACAATGACATTCAGCGTGCCAATATTATAGTGTGTCAATTGGAAAAGGCTTTGCGGATCCGTTTTTCCTTTGGATTAAAACTCGAACAACCGCGTAACCCAATCATCTGGCCTGGCGAAGCTTATGTGCCAAGACCAAAACGTAGCTCACTTAGGAAAATATCACTTCTTTGTTAAGCTTCTCTAAAACCATGCCTTCTCACTGGGGTCTTAACCTTTCTCAATTGACCAAAAACCTCTGGAGATCTCTGCGCTCTCTCCCACACCATCGTCGCTTCCGAAGGGTCCAGATACTTACGCTTTGTCTTCGAAATGTTTGGACAATAAATTTAAAAAAGTGTCTCTACTGGTGGAGCAAGCGCATTTTGCTTAAGAGTGATTCGTCCCATCTGAGTTTGTTTTGTCCAGTACCCTCCAAACGGATTTAGACGTTGCAAAGCAATGGTCTTTGGACTGAGGTCTTCTTTTGAATGATGAAAAACGAGTCTATGTCATTCTAAGGGGACTTTGGGCATAGTCAGAATGGACTAGAAGGCGTCGCGAGGATTGTTAACACAAAGGACTTGGGTATCTAGCTCTCTTCAAACATGCCTTTCTCACTGCACCATAAGAAGTTTGCTGAGAAGGTGTTTGCCGTTCTAAGGATGATTCGGCGCACTTTCTCCCTATTACTCGCGTGAACTTGAAATACTTAATGAGGCCCGCGTCAGACCGCCTCTTGAGTATACTAACAAAGCTGTTCGGCGGACTACCGCGAAAGTGGTTGCCGGCCTTAAATCCGTGGACCTTGAAACGCTTCTTGCGGTGCTTGACCTATTTCCCCTGGAGCATGATCATCTCCGAGGATACCTAATACTTACTCACGTTACCCAGCAATAAATCCACCGATTGTTTACCAAACCTCTCTGAAACGATCACTTATACTCTGTTTGAACAAGGTTTGTGATGCAGGTTTTTCAGCGTTGAACCTGCCGACACACTCGGGGACATGGTAAGAAGATTATTAAACTCAGAGCCCACACTACTGTCAGGCAAAATATTTTCTCATTTCAAGCGGTTGCTATGTGGAATAACCTTTCATACGATCATCTATGCTCCTTCTAGTACCCAGGTTGAAACACTTGGACGTTCTGTTTATGATGATCCTGGTGCTGGAACTTGGCTCGGCCAACAGGTAGTTCACTGTTGACCCAGCAAGCACACGGCGGGGACATGGTAAGGAAATTTTCAAGCTCAGAGCGCACACATTCATTAGGCAAAATTTTTCTCATTTCGGGTGGTAGCTGCGTGGAATGACCTTCCTCCGACGGTTGTCCACGCTCCTTCTAGAACCCAGTTCAAAGCACTATTAAACATTTATTTATGCGAAGTAATCTGTCCCACGCTGAGAACATGAAAAGCAGTGCTACACCCTTTTTTCACTTGTGCCTTTCGGGTGAACGACAACCCCTGATCGACAAGAACAAAACCGACCCGGGAAACTTGGGCAAAAGCCTCGATCCTGTGTATCAATCCATAAATCCGTGAAGGCTTACTGCCATGCGCTGAGGACCTGAAGAGCAGTGCCTCACCCTTTTTCGCTTGCGCCTTTCAGGTGAACCGCAGCTGTTGAATGAAAAGAACAAACTAAACTCGTGAATCATGGGAGCAAGCCGCGAACCTGTGTATCAGTCCGTGAAAAGGTGAATTGGAGGATCATTTCATATCATATTTGGATTGTATTTATGCCTCCAGGTTGGCAAGTCTACGGATCAACGCTGTGAGCTTCAAAAGTAATTTTATGCTTTGCCCTCGCTATGCTTTCTTCGTAAACCGAAACCATTGAAATGAACAAGCTAGACCGGGAAATCTTGGGCAGAGGCCTCGATCCAGTGTGTCAATCTGTTAGTCTGTGGATTTCCAAGGTCACTTGGGCGGACGCTCATCCACTCCAACCGAAAGCACGGGATGACTGAGTATAAGTTGGTCGTCGTTGGAGGTATTGTAGATTTTTTTCACTATCTAAAATCTAGCTGGCGGTGTCGGAAAGAGGGCCTTGACTATCCAGCTGATTCAAAATCAGTGAGTTCGCACCTCATTTTTTCTAAATGTTTCCCCTCAGCTTTGTGGAAGAATATGATCCTACTATTGGTATGTCTTTGTGTGTGTTCGGTTGACATCCCTTCATTTATTCAGAGGATTCTTATCGAAAGCAGGTTGTTATTGATGGGGAGATATGCTTATTGGATATATTGGACACGGCCGGCCAAGAAGAATACAGGTTTGGCGTGTTTCAGTACTTATTTTCGAAGTGCAATGCGAGATCAGTACATGCGAACCGGTGAGGGATTTTTATGTGTTTTTGCGGTGAACAACTATAAGAGCTTTGAAGATATACACCAGTATCGGGAACAAATAAGGCGTGTGAAGGATTCGGATGATGCTCCTATGGTCCGTAAGTTGTCCAACCCCCTGCAATACTTATCGCTTTAGTGGTCGGAAACAAATTAGATCTCACTCACAGGGCAGTTGGTGCCAATGATGCAAAAATGCTCGCCCGGTCTTTCAACATCCCCTACGTAGAAACGTCGGCCAAAACCCGCCAGGGGGTCGATGAAGCATTTTACACACTTGTCCGTGAGATTCGAAAATACGTAAGTCCTCATGTTCACGTACTTGCCATTAAAGCTTACAAATCTTCGCGTGGACGTGACTATCTACCGATAAGCAAAGTACGGAGGTGGATTACTAGTGACAAGTGCTAATAACACCTTTTGAATGACTGACCCGTTGAAGACACTGGAAGTAGTGAATGTAGACCCCCATCAGCCCCACAAATTCCGGAGCACTTCGAGAAACCAGCCATCCAAATGCAGAACTTCATTGCCGGACAGCAGAGGTCACTTTATGCAAAGACCAGAATTATACAGCTGTTCGAATCATTCGTCGGTTTCACTTAACCGAGCTTGGCAACTTGTTCCAGTCATTCATGACCGTAGTGAAGGGTTTTACGCCTAGATTGGCTCTTAACCTCCAAATTTGGTTAGGTTTTAATCATTCAAGGGGGCTCAGCGATTGACATGCAAACTTACTGACCAGGAGGTCGGTGGTTCGTACCCAAACTCAGCATCTTGATTGCTCGGGCATCATCATCATCATCGACAGCATGACATCAGTGTTCAACACCGATGCTTCACTGCCGTACAACCATGACTTATTTGAAACTCTTATTGGAAAGAAAAGAATAAAGGTGGACGAGGAAGGGACTTAGTGCTAGCTTAACACAATCATCCCGAGGTGCCTACCCCTCCAGACATTCACTCAGGCAATCTGGA